CCCGTGCACTCAAAAGGTAAGACTGATGATAAGCACGAAAGGTGCTAAACTGTCCCAAGACGACACTTTCTAGGACCCCTGGCATTTGGGAGTGCCGGGGCCTGTGCACTCCGGTGATGGCAGAGTTAAAAGCATACATAACGGTAACATGGAACTTATAACTATATTTTGCAACCTCCGGTTCATTATAAACAATCTAGCAAAGCTCTTGTGAGCAATCCTGAGTTCCTCGCACCCCCCATCAAGTCGTCTAGGAGATCAAATGTCAGCTTTGAATTGTTAAAGTAATGTAACTGTTAAACAGAATAAGCATTATTTTAAGAGAGAAAATTACTCCTTGGTTTAGAAACTCAAGAGTTACCACTTGATAAAAAGGCACCCTTGGTGTATACACTCACACATACCGGCTGGAAAACAAGAACAAGACAGCGGAGGTTTCTACAGACAAACAAAAACAGGTCTTTACTCAAAACCCTTGCTGTGGGCAAGAATCAAGGTGGTATGCGCATCTTTTGAGACACGTGTTAAGGTGACTGATGTTTTTCTCCTTCTTGGATGGTCATTTTCTTGGCCAGGTTCAAGTCAGAGGCAGAGAAATGTGGGGAGATGGGCCTAGCAATTGAAATCCAGAGCGGAGGATGAATCTTCCTCTGGGCTGCACGAAGTTTACATGTCTGACCAGAGGGAAAAAGAAAAGAAAGATTAGTAGAGAAGATGCTGCTTGCACAGCCACTGGGCCTCAGCCTCCCTTCGGGGTGGGCCCCGGGACCCTTGGCAACCCCCTCCCCAATCCAAGTTGCTGACACACTGGTGCCCTTGTACTAAATACTCCCCATGACTCCAACTCCCAAATAGGCCCAAGCTGCCTCTCAATTTCAAAGACAGCTTCTTGAGGAAAGAAAAGCAAAGGCCTTTTGGTTTTGGAAATTCAGGGTGAGAGAGAGACTAATTCCAAAGGCCTCACTAACCTCTGCCCTAAATGGTTACCTGTATGCTGTAAAGCAGCTTGTGGACTGGGGGCTGAAAAGAACCTATTTTATATGTCTGATAGGAAATTCGGGGCATAAAAACTAAAATCAAGTTATCTACCCTCTCAAAACCAACGTTTTAAGTTCTTAAGTGTATTTATTTATTTTGAGAGAGAGAAAAAGTGCAAGTGGGGTAGGGGCAGAGAGAAAGAGAGTGGGAGAGAGGATCCCAAGCAGGCTCTACACTATCAGTGCAGAACCTGACACGGGGCTCGAACCCACAAACCGTGAGATCGTGACCTAAGCCGAAGTCTGATGCTTAACCGACTGAGGCACCCAGGCGCCCCATCTCTCAAAACCAACTTAATGGAAGTTCTTTGAGATCAACCTAGTGTTTGGATCCACCACGGTCTCCCGTCTCACCTCTGAAGTTACAAGATGCCAAGAAAGGCCTGGAAAAGCCAAAGCAGGAGGGTTCACGGCCAACTGCCTTTCAAACAGTGTGAAGACAGGATGAGGCCTTACCCAATAGAGGAGGTACACATTTGTTTTTCTCGTCATCTAAAGGCATCTGGGGACTTTGATGGAATGTGATGGAACCTTTCAGGTGGTATTTTCGGCTATCAGGAGGGATACTGGACATGAGTGACTCTGCCTCATCTCTGATGTCAACAATCTTGTCACAGATCCACTCCTGTGCCTCTGGATGTACACTTTTGTTAGGTCCCATGGTGTTGCTGGTTTCACTTGCCTTTCTGGTTTTTGTTGCTCGGCTGCTCATTCTTTTGCTGGACGGTCTGGAAAGAGAGGTTTGGGTTAGAATCCTGACTGTCCCAGAACCAAGGCTGTGTCCTGAAAGCAGCTTTATCCTTTAATTAACTTCTAAGAAATGCCTTGGAAGTAACTTAACCTTCAGAATCCTAGAATAGGAAGGCTGGAAGGGACCCTGGAGATCACAGACCACACTGGTTTCCAAATTGTGTCCTGCAAAGTCCTAGGGTTCAGCAAACACTAAGCAGGGCTAAGAGCAGCTGCATGTGCAGGGATGCAGAAGCCCCATCCCTACTTCACTCTGACCTGAGACACAACCATGCAGTGCAGTGAGGACGAACGTGGCTCTCCTAGCTCCAGCGCTCGTGCTGGCCCGACACTGCGCCTCTCAGCCCATCGTGTTCCCACGGGCCCTGAAGGTTCAGTGTCTCTTTAGGGAATCCCCAGGGAGCCTTCCCTTCCAAGAATCTGTTCCCACTCTTCCAACCAAACTTCTGACCCTCAGTTTCCCCATATGTAAAATGACATCAATACTGAACTCAGAGTCACAATGAGAATTAAAATAAGCAGCAAAAGATGCCTGGTATGCAGCAGTCACTCAGTGCCCCCCCTTCCCTGATTTTATGAGAAAATGCTAACCAGTGTGCACAAAAGCACAGCTTAGAGTCAGATGCATCTAGTTTGAATGTGGGCTCTGCCCTTTAACGGTGGGATGTTGGGCAACTAAGACCTGTAATCTCTCCGTGCCTCAGTTTCCTCGTCTGTAAAAGTGAAGATGATAACCCTTGCCTAGCAAGGCTGCTGTGGGGATTACTTTGTTTCTGGAAGTGCTTGACACCGTGCTTGGTACAAACTAAGACCTCAGTCACTAATCTCATGTAGGACTCCCACCGAGTGTATTCTGATAGGCTCACTGGACTCACCTGGTACCCTTCGCCTGAGTCAAAGGGTTTTTCGCACTTTTTTGTCTGAAGGTTTTCATGTCGCCATTAAAAAATGTTTTTGTCTCTCTATGGACTTGGCCAGAAGTGGCGTCTAAAAACACCAGCTTGGGAGTGTTCTTCTTCATGTTTTTAAAATGTGTTTTGAATTTTGTGGATGAATCCATGCCATTTATAAAGGCTTGGAAAAAGAAAGGAAGAAGATTAAAACTGGAGTTTCAACAATGCAGACAACAAGAGGCAAAGGCCATGATCCTGCCGGGCCGGAGTACGGCCGGCCACATAAAGGCAGGAGGAAGAGCCATGCAGCAGTATTCTGGGGTGTAAGCCGCCACCCGGCACACAGGCCCACTCTGGCCTCAAACAACAAAGGGGCCACCTCTAAGGAACTTGCCCTCTTTCCTCTGCCGGGCAAGACAGGCCAGAGGGCAGAGGGCAGCAGGCAGCATGCTTCTTACCCCTCCTCCTGACTGCCCACCTCGCCAACCCCGCCTGTTCTTTTAGTCTTGATGCCAGGGCTCCCTCTACCTTCAGCTTTCCTCAGCGCCCTGAGCTGACCCTACACCTGGCCCTGCTCCTACTGCTCACCGTATTCAGGCTGGCCAGCTTGTGGCAGGGTCACCATCTGCTCCTACGTCTATCTTCCCACAGGCTCTCCTGGGGCCACACCTCCTCCTGTCTGTATCCCTGGTACCCAGAACGCCTGACTTGCGTGTTCATATCCACTTGTGGGGTAAAACGTGGACAACAGTGTTCTCTCAAGTTCCTAGTACTGCTGCCATAAAGTGGTTCCTACTCAGAAGGGAATCAGCCATACATTTCAGAGAACACTCAGATCACGACAGGAATCCTATTTTTCTCAGTGAGGTGGAAAGTGGCGTTCCACCTGTCATCAGTCATGGATGCCATGTGAGGCCCTGAGCTGTGACATGCTCGTAACCCTCACATTCAGTTACGAGCTACCACCTACACCGTAATGGCACAATCTGCAAAACAAGAACAGTCGCTGCTGTAGCAGCCTTTATTGAGAGTTTCCTACGTGTCAGGTGCTCTTAGCACTACATGGATTATCCCATTGCAGTCTCGTGCTACACTAGGAAGAGAACATTCACTTCCCCTTTTTCAGGTAGGAAGACTGAGTACAGAGAGGTTCAGTAAGTTGCCCAAAGCCACACAGCTCAGAAGCAGAGGAGCCCCTGGATGAACCGGGCAGTTAACTCTTAAATGGTGACGAACAGAACTCAAAAGGCAAGCAAACCTGATGGATGTAGGTCATCGAAGGAGTCATCATCGCTTTCTGACTCGTCCTCATCATCTGCTTCGTCCTCCTCGTATGTGTTGTCACCGAATGTTTCTGCAGCCTACGATGAGAAAAGAAGTCATGGTTACATCTAATCTTCCATTATCCTGACTTGGTTATTTCAAAGAAAACAGATTTCATGCCGGACTGCTGCCTAATTTTAATTAAGAGATAAAAAATCTAAACTCTTTGGCCCCAAAGAGTGGCCCTAGTTGTGTCTTTCAGTTAGGGAAAGACACTCAAGAGTGGGAGCCAAGGAACAATGCTTTGGGCTGGCATGTGGCCTCTCTGTGTGCTCCGAGCCCTAACTAAGCCAAGGAAGGGACGATTGATAAATAACTAAAAAAAGTTCTTGGCTGCTGCTTGAGCCAGTGGGCTAAATGATCTTTCAGATGGTGACTCCCTGCACTTTCCAGAAATGACATTTCTATTCTGAATTTTCAGGATATGGATGACCATGCTGGGGAACTGTAAACAACCAAAATATCAATCTTGTTGCACAAAGGGTAAAGGGCACAGACTCTGGAGGAAAGGGGTCTTAGATGCATCAAAAGACAGGATGCTGGGGTATAGAGATAGACCCCCCCAAAAGCATACCATAAATGAAAAAAATTACCATAAATGAAAAAAAAACCCACTGAATCTGAGCTCACTAAAATGAACTTCTGTTCAGCAAAAGGCATTCTGAGAGTACGAGGTGAACTACAGCAATACCTACACATTGACAGGGCTCATAACTCGAGCAGGTAAAAACTCCTACACATCAGTAAGAAAGAGGCCAGCCGCCAAACAGAAACATGGGCAAGGGACTCGATAAGGCGCTTCACCAAAGCAGATCTTCAAATGGCCAAAAAGCAGATGAAAAGGCACTCGACTCCATTAATCATCAAAAAATATTAATAGATTCAATAGTGTGCCAATTAAGAACTTCTATCCAATAGAAGACAGCATTAAGACACGCCACAAATAAACTGGGAGAAGATATATGCAAGAAAGTAGTGGCATCCACATTTTAAGAACTACAAGTGAGAAAAAGACAAATCAACCCAAAAGTTTTGGGCAGAGACCTGAATAAGCATCTCACACAAGAAAAAACATGACAGCTAAAGATAGGAGAACATGCTCAACCTCTTTAATACTTAATCAGAGACATGCGAGTGTGATACTTTAATTACCACCAGACTGGCAAGAATGAAAAAGTCGGCAAGAAGGTGAAGCAACAGGAAGTCTTAGGCACCGCTGGCAGGAACGCATAGACTACCTGGGAGGTATTTGAATATGTCTTTCTTGTCCGCTTCATAATTTCCTCAATTCTCTAAAGGAAAATAAAAATTCCAACACGAAAACAGATTAAAAACAAAACAGTGGTCCTGAAGAAGTTGATGACTTCTGTTTCCCATAAGTGGACAGTGTCAGTTGACTGCTCCCAAGCCACAGACTTAGCAGACAAGAGACCCTACGGCGGCCACCAGAATCCTTCCAATCCCAGTTTCAGTCAGTCCAGAAAATGTCTTGAGTGGGTACTAGCTATCCTAACACACAGATCCAATGACTTCTCACTCCGAAGTTCATAGACTTAGACACCCATTACTTAAACTAAGCATGTATTGCTGCAAACCAGTGAGGACTTTTTAATGTACTTTAGTCTGAATAGACCACGAGTGAAGCAGATATTAATGAAAAGACTGCACCCCACTCACTGATGCGACACTATCAGAACTTTCTTGCTGGAAAGAGCACACACCCAGGAGGGAAATTTCTCCCTGGTGCACACTTCCTTCCCTGAAGGTGAGGAGAACTGTAGCTCTCTGGCCTCCTCAGGGCGACCTCCACCTCTCAACAGAGGCCTTGCAGCCTGGGCCGGGGCCTTCTCTGCTCCCAGACGAGCCAATTAAGTTGCACAAAGGGAGGCCCTACCTTACAAACAGCCTGTGTGTTGGCCTTTCGGAGAAGCCTGCACCCTTCTGTTTCCTTTGCTCAAGCTGCTGCAATTTCTAGCCTAGTTTAGAAGACACTAACTTCCATCAACCCCTCCCAATGACTGGAGTGATTCTATTCAAACAAACTCTGTTTCCAGAGGTCAGTGAATATGGAGGTGTCACTGTAATGGTCACCAGTGGTCCATGATGGAGAGGTATGGTAAGAGAAGACCCTTCTATGCAGGAAGGGTGAGATCCTTGGATTAGAGAGTTCTAGTGGGAAAACCACCAGAGGCTAGCGTACCACTTATTTGTGATTTTTGAAGAACACGTTTTGATATCATGTGCCCAACATTTTTCCAAAAAGAACCAAACTCCCAAAACAGAAAGAGTACCTTTTTTCTTTCTAATCTCTCCTGCAAATTCTGTAACATAATTCTCTCGTGCTCCTTCTTGCGTTTGTCAGCCTCCTCATCAGCTTTTATTTTGGTGTCCCCCTTCTAGAAAATTTGTATAAAAATACCATTTTGATCTCAATATATGAGTGATAACCAAGAACATCAGTTGAAAAAGTTAAATAGTAAAATGTTATCTGGCATAAAAGCATGTAACCTTTTGACTGACAGTACCTATGTGCACAACATTCATGAATTACCAATTTTCAAAGCATTAGCTAAAATGCACAAAACTAGGCTATTATCTTGAGGATTTAGAAGCCATGTCAGTCCCCTCCAGGACCCCATGGTTATCATTAGTGGTTACCAGGCCACTATAGTTTGAAAATATGTGATTATGTAGCTATCCATGAACACAGCAACAGGAGCTGAAAAGTCTTACACCTTTCAAAAGCACCGAAAGGATCCTTAAAGGTAGTTCTTGAGGAATGCGAACGCACACAATCATTTATGTAACATATACCTGATTTTACTAAGGGATAGGCTAAAAATGGAATATAAAGTGGACTATGTTAATAGTTCAAACTGAGTACAGTCTGAGCTCAGTTTGTGGATTTATTTACCTAGTGATTTGAATTTGCATGGGTGAGACATTATTGGAGAATTGGAGGACTTTATTCTTTTCTAAATTTTGTTAAAGTTTATTTTGAGAGAGAGCATGCACTTGAGTGGGGGAGGGGCAGAGAGCCAGGGAGTGAGAAAATCCCAAGCAGGCTCCTCACTGTCAGTGTAGAGACTGACACGAGGCTCAATCCCATGAACCATGAGATCAGGACCTGAGCTGAAATCAAGAGTTGGACATTTAACCCACTGAGCCACACAGGCGCCCCATGGAGGGCTTTGAACTTTTAGAGGTATTCGTACTTTTTATCATCTGTGCTGGAAGTGTGTCTGGAGTGTGGCTGTGAGTGTTGCCACAGAATGCAGGGTCAGAAAAACTCACTTAGGACATTTAATCTGTGAGCAATTTGATTTTCTGAAGCCAAGCTGCAATGTTGTTTATGTAGACAAAATAAAACACTACTAATCTATAATTTGCTGCTTTCTGCTCCAGTTGCACTTGGAGAATCTTCTAGGATTGTGCCAAGGGTGGCTGAGAATGACCTGCAGCAGCACCAAGCAATGGCTAGACTGTGCTGGAAAAATGCAGCCAGAGAAGCCTGCATCTGGTCCTCCCTTTTCTTGGACAAAGGCTGCCTCGGGCTTCCACTGAATTTTAGAACCCGGTCACCCGCCAATAGAGTGGATACAGCAAACCTGTAGCAGCACTTTCTGGTCTTCCGGATCTGTACATCCTTTCTTCATTTCATCGCGTCTTTGTCCATCTTCGAGTTTTGAGAACTCTTCTCCTTGGGTGTCAACTCCTTTCTCTGCCATTTCCTTCACCTTCCTAATGACACGATATTTAAACAATTCTTAGTATTTGTCTCGGTCTCTACCACACAGAGGTTGCAGCAATACATGCTTTTCAGTCACCTCTGTACCCAACGCGGGGCTTGAAATGACCCTGAAATTAAGAGTCACATGCTCCACCGAGTCAGCCAGGTGACCCTGGACGTGCACTTTTATAGTGGAACTGCTTGTGTATAGGAACACAACTTACATTTTTACACCAGATTTGCTACATTTTCTATGTTGTTACTGTACAAAATTTGCCCAATTTCACCCTTTTTAAATGTGGGAAACCAGCTCTTGGGAGTAGAAAGATTTCTATCAAATAATGGGCCACTCTGCATTCTAAAATGAGAGAAAGAAAAACATTCCTTAACTATTTTAGACACATGGGACCCTCCAAAAGGCCTTATTTACACATATGTAATTTAAAGGAGGGTCTGGTGGTGCCCAGGGGAAAGCCCCATCCACAATGACGGGTACGCAGGGGTTTTAAAACGTTAAATTAGCTGTTTACATGAAGTGATGAATGATGGCCTTCCAGTTAACAGTTTTTGCTATTCACATGTGACTGCATTTCAAATACTCACCACTTAAAAAACAACTCAGGACTGTAGTTATTCTTCGCAGGCAGTAGGTAGGTTTATATCCCAGAGCCCTAAATCAAGTGAGCTTCAAGAGTGAGGGCTGGGGTGCCTGGGTGGCTCAGTTGGTTGAGCATCTGACTCTTGCTTTTGGCTCAGGTCATGATCCCAGGGTCACAGGATCGAGCCCCACATCAGGCTCCACGCTGAGTATGGAGCCTGCTTAAGATTCTCTCCCTCTCTCCCTCCCTCCCTCCCTCTGCCCTTCCCCCTCTTGCGCTCTAAGACTGAGGGTAAAGAAACCTTGAGATGGAATCAGAATGAACACAACTGTACATGAGGTTTGCTGCTCACAGGAAAGCCTTCCAGCAATGACTGAGGAGATTCAGGCGTCACAAAGGTCACTGGAAAGCACCTCTAGCAAAACATGAGGAAGTATACTTTCCAGGCTTACAAATTCTAAAGTTACAAAAGAGTTTTGAAACAAAGGGGTGGACTCCAATGAATGCCAACCGAAACAGTCTGGCATGATCACCCCGGTGTTCCTGCCGAGATATGGGACCCCGACACAAGTTCTGGTCTCAAGCATCTTTACAGTACAACTTAATGACACATGATGCACAGATACTAAGGACAACTATACCATCTACCTACACACCAGCATCCTCTCTGCTAGACAGGCTTCCCACATTTGTTCTGAAGGCAAGGAGTCACTTCTGATTCACAGTAAAGAAAAAGTCAGTTACTCGTTGATTTTTCATATTATTTATAATACATTTAACCTGAGGGTACCTACCTTTCCTCTGTTTCCTTTTGTAGTCTTTCTTCTTTTTCTCTTTGTTCACGAGCAAGGCGCCGTTTCTCTGCCAAAATTTTTGTTGCCTCCTCAGCATTCATAGTCCCTGGTGTGCTTTTACTACTAGGCTCTAGTTGAAATCAACACAACATGCAAAACAGTTAGCTTAGGGAACTTCATACCTCTAAGCCCAATAAAGAGGTGCGAGACAACCAACAATATTAAAAACTCAATATATACATGGTCCAGATTTTATCAATAACATGCAATCTGTAAGTAAGTGATCAAAAGAACAGATTTTGTTCAAAACCTCAATCCCGTTCCCAATAACAGAAGTAGCAGTCTGTTTCTTTTTAACATCCCCTTGCTCCAAAATAATGTACTCCCACTTTGGTTTAGCTGTTTTGAGAGTGACCTAACTAAAATGACCCTATGGGAAAAAAGATTAAGACGCACTGAACACAGAGGAAGACAAACTTATGCCCAGTCTATATGAAGTATACAAATACTTGACTAGACAAGAACATACCCAGCATACATTTTGAAATTTGTGCATAATTTTCACTAAATAACTACTGTTTAAATGAATGTTGGTAATAGTGAATTATTATATTTGATTGGTCATAAAGTGGCTAACTACATAACCAAAGAAACCAAGACTATCAGTAAAATAAGGTGACCACATGGGGGCATGCTGTAATGTTTCAGTCCGTGTGATGACTATTTTTTTTAATTGTTTTTGATGTTTTTATTTATTTTTGAAGGAGACAGAGAGAGACAGCGCATGAGCGGGGGAGGAGCAGAGAGAGGGGGAGACACAGAATCAGAAGCAGGCTCCGAGCTGTCAGCACAGAGCCCGACGCGGGGCTCAAACCCACAAACTGTGAGATCATGACCTGAGCTGAAGCTGGATGCTCAACCAACTGAGCCACCCAGGTGCCCCATGTGATGACTATTTTAAATAAATCACATATTGGGGTGTGCCTGGATGGATCAGTCAGTTAAGCATCTGACTCTTGATTTCAGCTCAGGTCAAGATCTCGTGGTTCATGAGATTCTCTCGAATCCCCACACTGGGATTCTCTCTCTCTCCTCCTCTTTCTGCCCCTCCCAAGCGCTCTCACTCTCTCAAAATAAATCACTTTAAAAATAAATGAGTAAATAACATATGAAAATGAGGATCTTAAGACATCAGGAATGAATAATTTGCAATAAAATTATTATTCCTGTCATAAAGAAATCACTGTGGAATTCCTTCAAAAAGCAAAATTTACTAGTGTACTTAAAATTAAATAATGGCAAAAAAACAAAGTAAAATAAAATAAAATAAAATAATGTCTATGGACATTAAGAACATGTCACAGGCAAAATGCCAACATGGGACTTTTAGGAACCCACATACTGCTCAGACACGTTATGGTGTATGTGTGGAAACGGACCTTCAGCTCCTGATGGAAATCCACTCAGCCACATATGGCCAGATGTGCTCTCCCCAAAGATGGACAATACCTTAGGGCCATTCACAGAACCATCCACTATCAGAGCTGGAAGGGACCCCTAGGGATCACCTACAGCAATGCACTCATCTAATCAGTACTTTTAACATTAGTTCCAAAAATGGATTTTCCGCAACAAGGGGGTGGGGGGGAAGAAGCTCTGGCAAGGAAAAGTAAGCAGTGTGCCAATGACTGGCTAAATTCTCTTCATCAAAAGAAAGCTTACATCCTAAAGTTCTCAGAATTGGGGAATAAAACAAAGGTGACCATTTCTAACTACCTTAAGACTTCCCGTGTTGCCAAAATAAACTTCTCAGTGAAGGAACTTACCTTCACAGACCGTCTGCTTTTGGCTCACAGCTTCAGAGCTGCTAGTGGTTTTAGGAACTGCTTCTCTTTTCTTTCCAAGAGTACCTAACACATTTTGCACAAGTAGGTTATGCTGAACAGGAATTACTTTGTAACAAAGGGAAGGTTGTGACTGTTTTGACCTGACAGGTGATGGGGACGGGGGGCGATTCTTCTGCATTTGCCTGCTGAGAAAAAGTAACCATTAGTGGGGGAAGTTGGATACGGTTTTGTAGTAGATATGTGTACAAATAAAGTAAACACATTAGTTTATAATGTGCCATTTCATAAAATATAATGTCTTAGTACTAGGAGATATTTTCTAACAGAAGTCAGTCCATTTTTGAAGATTTTTTCCTATTTACAATGCATACTACCATTATTTCCTTTATGAAACACTGATGTGACATTTATCCTGGTAAAACACCTATCAGGAACAGTTGCAATTAAGCTACTTACTTAACACTGATGGGAGAGGGTGGGCGCCGCCCACTTGCAGGAGAAGATGGCCATTTATAACATGGTATGTGTGACGATGGGCGCTTCTTTGTACCAGGGTTGGAGGCCTGTTTGTCCATTTCTGGTTTCTGAACAGAGCCAATACAGTCAGATTAAGAGATCAGCATTTACCTTTCTGCAGCTGGCTTGCCTTTTTAAGACCAACATACCTTGAACATATAATACAATTTTAGCTCCTTAAAAGGAGCTTTTCAAGCATGAGAATTACACACAGATATGTTCTTCTAGACTAACAATTCAGATTACGAATTTCAAGAAGTTCACAGAAATAATTAAAAACAAATCTTTCCCTTCAAAACCTGATTCTATTTCTAAATCCTAATTAAAGGTTTGTAATATTTCTTCTTGAACTTTTCTTCAGTTTAGAAATAGTTCCTGTAACAGTTATACTTCCTCCTTTCTACTAAAAACTAATATTCCAGCTTTGAGGGGAAACTGGTACAACGAGTATCATCATTTTAAATCATTAAAGTGGCTTATCCTATATAACTGATTTTATTGCAGAATACTATCTAAGAACTTGCTTATGTTGTGAAACGTGACCTATCATGACCTACACAACTAAATACACAGATTTTAACAGAAAATTGGGCAATAAAAGGCACTTAATAAACCTGTGGAAAATCTCTCACTTTCACCTTGGAAGAGGTTTCCACGCTCACCTCCAGGAAGGCCTCGGGGGATGCTTCCACACTCTCTTCGGGGAGCGTTTCCACACTAGCCTTGGGGGACGCTGCCATACCAGCCTTGGTAGATGCCTCCACGCTTGCTTCAGATGACACTTGCATGCTCCCATCAGGGGACGCATCCGTGCTCATCTCGAGAGACGAGTCCATGCTCACCTCGGGGGATGGGTCCACGCTCACCTCGAGGGACATGTCCACGCTCACTTCCAGGGATGTTTCCATGCTATCAGGGAGTGCTTCCGCACCTGCTTGAACTGATGCTTCCACACTCCCTTCAGGGGACCCTTCCATGCTTGCCTGGGGGGTTGCTTCATTCACCTCGGGGGCCGCCTCCATGTTCACCTCGGGGTCCACTTCCACACTCACCTTGGGGATCGCTCCCACATTCACATTGGAGGCCACTTCCATACTCGTGCTCGCCTTGGGGGGCGCTTCCACCTTCGCCTTGGGGAGTGCTCCCACTTTCTCCTGGGGAGGCACAGCCATTGCTGACTTGCGAAGCACTATGGTATTCTTCAATTCATCACTGCTATGGCCACGCAGGGGCGTGGTCACATACTGTAGTACAGGATAGCGGTTGCCTGTGGGTGAATGAGGGCAGAATGAAATTCTCTACACTTAGCAACCTGACAACAAGGCAGAAACACACCTTGTTAACAGTAGAAGAACAGGAAGAGAGAAAAGAGACCGTGTTTATTAGGAAACTGCAGGGATTACGCCCAACACAGAAGCATTTAGCGAAATGGATCACAGACACAGGACAAAAGTATCACAAAGTTGGTACTTCAGAAGTGCCACCATCAAGAGGCGTCGTGAAAGCAACAGTCTACTATAGATGAAGAAGACGCGTCTCCCAAGTTGATGTTTGCAATAAGCTATTTATCTTTTTTTTTTTAAGTTTGAGAGCGAGAGCAAGAGTGAGAGCATGCGCATGAGCAAGGGAGGGCCAGAGAGAGAGAAACCCAAGCAGGCTCCATGCTGTTAGCGTGGAGTCAGACGCGATGCTGGAACCCACGAACCGTGAGATCACGACCTGAACCGAAATCAAGAGTAGGATGCTTAACTGACTGAGCCACCCAGGCTCCCTGCCATTTCTCATTTAATCATACTACGGTTGAGTGATTTTCATAAAACATTACAAGATGTCCAACACTTTTTAAAAGTAATCTAAAACAACTTAACCAGGGCCAGGGATCTTACGATTACAAGTGATTATGCAAGAAATTCTATATATGGCTATTTTGGAATATAATATAAAAAGAGCATTTTCTCACCCATAATAAAAACTATAATAACACATTAATCAGAACGGGCTGGATTTTCAAGGTCTCTTCCAGATTTCGCAATCTAAATATTTTCTGCCTAATAAATGGATAAAAATGGTAATACTCGGTACCAGCAAAGAAGGTGGAAAGTGGTAATAGCAACGCTGGGAAAGAGGCAGCCCCACACTGCTGGTGAGGTCGTGGATTTGCACATGTTCCCGGTAGGGGGGATTGGGGCAATAATGTATCAAAAGCCATTACAAAGTTCATAGTCTTTGTTGCCACAATTTCACTTCTAGGTCTATCCTTAAGAAAAAAAATCAGATATGAAAATGTATGCAATAAGGGTTACTTATTATAGCATTATTGATAATATTGAAACAATGAGAACTATAATCCGAATATTCAACAGGAAATTTAGATAATACTGACAGTCATTCAGAGTATTAATATACAATTTCTGGACATAGAAAAGGATATATATCCAGATTAAACAAAAGCAGATTATAACCCTATCTTGTGAAGAAAATATATAAACAAATATTCAGTCATGAGTGGGCTATTGGGATAATAGTAAATTATATTTAAAATTTTCTCTACACTAAATATGCATTGCTTGATTAATAAAGTAAATATTGTTTTTAAATTTTTTAGTTTTATTTATTTTGAGAGAGAGAGAGAGAGCATGAGCAGGGAAGGGGCAGAGAGAGGGAAAGAGAGAATCCCAAGCGGGGCTCAAAATTACAAACCGTGAGATGACGACCTGAGCTGAAATCAAGAGTCAGATGCTTCAACCAACTGAGCTGCCCAGGCACCCGCACCCCAAAAAGTAACTGTTTTTTAAAAAGTATTTGGTGATAGCTTTCTTAAGACTTGGTAAATCTGTCACTTCCTCTGTAAACTTTTACATGATCTCATCAAATAACCAAAATAGAACAAATTACCAAAGACTGACGACTCATGAATAAAAAATGTGACTAAGTTAAATGTTTTTAGGCCCTCATTTTGGTGGAAAAAGTATTATATTTACATATTGTATGTACCTAAACAGTCACATGATTTAACATTGACAGTTTGCACTAAGAAAATATATTAAATGTAATAACTAGATTTCTATTAGCTATAGAAATTTAAGATAAGATACTGCATTTTCAATGGAAGTAAAATATTAAACAAAAATAAAAGCAATAAAAGAAATATCTTACAGTAGACTGGAGGGAGAGTGGCAGAAAATAATCTGACATCCTATAATGAGGCATAAACAAATTCAGAAATTGGAACCAAAAGAACTAAAGCTGCACTACCAGAAAGTCTATGACAGCATTCTGATTTATTTTACTAATCATATGAATAACAACAGAAGAAAAAAACAAAGGTGCTGGGGTAAATTCTGGGGAAAAAAAGTGAAGGAAAAAAGAAAGAAAAGAATGATGGGAACAGTGCATTTTACCCTCCACAGGCATGTCTGACACTTTACGTGACCTGCAAGTGAGAAAATCCACCTAAGCCTGAAGACTGTTCTTACTTTACTAACAATCTTTATGTCCTTAATTAAAAGCTAAAGAGCAGATCAGTGTTACTCTTCCATATTTTAGGAAAAAAAGTTGGGTGAGGTAGAAAACTTTCTCCCTCTATATTGTAAGTTTCCAGATATTTTAACATCCAGTACTTCTTACGGTGCTGTGACACATTTAAGCACAGGTTGAGAAACCCACAGAGCTTTTAAAAACTTAGGGGTGCCTGGCTGGCTCAGTTGGAAGAGCATGCCACCCTCGACCTCGGGGTTCTAAGTTCGAGCCCCCTATGTTGGGTGTAAAGATCACTTTAAAAAATCTTTTAAAAAATCATGTAAAAGTGTAACAACCACCGTAATTACCTATCTCATCCTATAAATTGCCCATTACCCAGATAACTAATCTACCAGGCTAGAAGGCATAAAATAAACATGCAATATAAAACTGTTGGGTAAAATCAGTCATTTGGAAACCACTGATTCAAATTACGTTTATGCCTTACTGCAACCAATTAAATGATACAACCTGCTTTTTAAGTGCAAATACTAACACTTTCAGGCTTTCTGCCCTATGCCTATTACCTGGGGTTTCTTTTCCAGGGACCAACAATGAAGCAGCGCTTTTGCTCCTGGCTATTGAAGCTTTCGTTGGGACCAGCAGGCGGCTGATTAAATTATTCTCCCGAAGACTGGTATGCTGGTGACGAGCTGAATGAGGAGAAGAGACATAGTTGAGGTCTCACAAATAAATGCAAAGCAACAAAGAGCAACGTGAACTGCTGCAAATGAGAACTTGCCCAGCCTGGAAGTAGAGGCAACGAGAGAGAACTGCCTTGCTGGGGAAGAGAGCACTGAGTAAGGAACCAAAGGCCCCCAGGATACATAATAACCCCAGTGAAGAAATCTAGGTAGCATACTTAACAGAGTCCTAGCCAACATATGGAGCCTCTGCAGAGGAGCTCGCATATGTCTATCACGCAAAACGCCTTTGACATGGATTCCCACACATATCTGCCACTGACAATCCTACTCTGGTCAGATTCATTGCCAAAAGCTCCAAGGGACTGACTGAATTCTTCTGTTAAAAGTGCATCTTCTAGATATCTTGCTCCAATAAATTTTTATGTTCATAAACATCCCTGTGACAATGGCATTTGTTATAATGGGATTTGACCCTAATCAACAAACTGGAGAGCATTCTGTAAGGGAATGGTTTGGTAGAAACAAAAAGCAACAATTGTGTTTGACAGACAAAAGGAGAGGAAAGGTATTAGAAAGAAACTTTAAATAAAGAAGTACTTCAGTAATAAGTATGAATTTTTTTGTATAATAATCAGCAGTTCAAACATGTACAAAGGTTAGATGTGAGTAATGCCATGAAGCAACAGAACAAAGCTTTTAAGTTCAAATTATGGCCAATACTTAGAACTTCTAAACGCAGACTCATCAAGTATTTGAAGAGCATCAAGTCCTCCGACACAAATCCATACCTACACCAACACTCTGCGATCTAGTCTCTCAGCTTCATTACAGACCTCCTGCTCACATGATGGCAGAATTACACATTTCATTTAAAGACAGACTCTTGGCTTCAGCCAAATGTTAAGGGATATTTTGGCTTCCAGTTTTAGGAACAACTTCTCAAGCAACGAAATGTTGACATAAACAGATCTCTTTTAAGCCACTATTTAAGACTGGTACTTGGGAGCACCTGGGTGGCTCAGTTGGTTAAGTGTCTGACTTCGGCTCAGGTCACGATCTCGTGGTTGGTGAGTTCAAGCCTCACGTCGGGCTCTGTGCTGACAGCTCAGAGCCTGGAGCCTGCTTTGGATTCTGTCTCTCTGTCTCTGCCCCTTCCCTCCTCGTGCTCTGTCTGTCTCTCTCTCTCTCTCTCTCTCTCAGAAATAAATATTAAAAAAAATTAAAAACAAAATAACTAACCACCTGGTTTTTCTTCTACTTTTTCTGTTTCCATAGGTGACTGCAGTTTGTTAGATCTTCTATTCAAAGACGAACTTCTCTTTTCTGTTGTTTCTGGAGATCAAGGGCAAAAGAAAATTACTTTTTATAAATTATTTTATAATTTTATAATTATTTATAATTACAATTTTAATTATATATTATATATATATTATATATAATAATTTTATAATTATGTTATTTTAGGAGTCAACTCCTCTTTTCAAACATTTTTTATCTTCTTTACTCTTGCTTATAAGAATTTATTTAAATTTCAAATCTTATGTAGAGATTCTACATCCCCAACCTTAAAACTAATTTACTCTAAGTTATCTGAAATAAAAGTATTTAGAAAAAAAAAACAGTAAAAATTAAGAGGAAAATGTCTAATACTACCTGACAAGATCAATATTCCCAAATTCGAAACATTCATTTTAAATTTTAGACACAATCCATGACATCTGTTACTAAAGTAATGTATACTTTAGTTATAATGATTATGGCTTTAAACTTTTTAAAAATGATCGTTAACATTTGGCATAGATGTCGCAATTTTAGCAACCTAATGAAAAACATGCTTTGTGTAGACACTTTTCCATTTCACTTGAAATGTTCTGGCTCAGAATACTGAGGAATGTCTGTTTAAAGAATAACTTCTTGGGTTTCCTGGGTGGCTCAGTCAGTTAACCATCTGACTCTTGGTTTTGACTCAGGTCATGATCTCACGGTTTGTGGGTTCAAGCCCCGCATGGGGCTCTGTGCTGACAGCTCAGAGCCTAGAGCCTGCTTCGGATTCTGGGTCTCCCTCTCTCTCTGCCCCTCCCCTGTTGGTGCTCTGTCTCTCTCTCAGAAATAAACATTTAAAAAATTTTAAGAATAACCTCTTTTGGGAACCTGTAAACTAAATCGGGGACCTGTACATATTGACAACGTAGCATCATTTGAAAATCCGTGAACTGATAATGTAACTGAACAGCACGATCCAGAGGTATAATCGATTCAATCGTGTGATTAAATCACATATCCTTTACCATCATATCACAAGAAATGACAAGATAGTGTGAACAGTTACTGAGTCAGCAAGTGGCAGAAGAAAAACAGACAATTTGAGTCAGCCAAGCTTTAAAACAGGGCTATTTAAAACATTACAGGTTATTACAGTATGAACTTAATTTGAGTTTGAAATGTTCGTCTCTCTGGATCAAACAGGTTTCATTCCAATCTGAAGAGATTTTTACAAAGGTAAGCCACCGCCAATACTGGGTTTATTTTCCCTGGCATCATTAATCACAACATTCATCATCTCAGAGTGTGCAATATACTGTACCTTTAAGTAAGTTATTTCACAAAAGTATCTTCTACACACACCTTCTTGTATTAAAAACTAGTAAAGAAATCATCTAAAAAGTTACTTGGAATTGCTCCTTCAGTGCGATTTAACTAATTATTACCTTGAAAGTCATCACCTGTTCCTCCTCATTACAAGTCTCATTGATACATCAACTAAACCTATTAATGAAAGCATACTAGTGTTTGCACATATTAAAAATGGCATACGTGGGGCGCCTGGGTGGCTCAGTCGGTTGAGCGTCCGACTTCAGCTCAGGTCATGATCTCACGGTCCGTGAGTTCGAGCCCCGTGTCAGGCTCTGTGCTGACTGCTCAGAGCCTGGAGCCTGTTTCAGATTCTGTGTCTCCCTCTCTCTCTGACCCTCCCCCGTTCATGCTCTGTCTCTGTCTCAAAAATAAATAAACGTTAAAAAAAAAATTGAAAAAAAATGGCATATGTGTCTGTGGAAGAAATATTTGCTAACTCCTCAGAGCAATTAGATAGTAAAACAGAGTCAATGCTTGTGAACCAATTAAGATATATTAAAATGAAAGTATATGACACTGCAATGATTGAACTAAGGAATAATAAATTTAGTATATGACGAGGAAGGTACTAGAGAAAACCTTCCCACGTTAATCTACGAATGAACCCAGGCTACACACAAGTGCTCTGGGAAAGCCTATCAAGAGTTAGGGTGTTAAGTGGATCAACTTTTGTTAGACCATTATGAGAGAAAATATGATAACCACAGACTGACAAACGACAAAAGACGTCTCAAGCTCATGGTTAGAAATTAGGAGTCCTAAAAGTATAAATAACATAATGTAAGTATGAACAAAACAAAAATCCTTTTCAACATTTTAAAACTGTAATATCTGGATAAAAATGGAAATCTTTTCCACTAGGTTAACTACTGCTACAATTAATAATACTTTAATGAGATCCAGAATCTTTTTGCTGTACTGGAATTTTATAGCATTGCTCAAAAATAGGTCAAGGTATCTAATAAAACAAAAGAAAGATTTTTGAATTCAGACCATAATTATGCATTTTTTAAATTCATAAGGCACAAAAGTGGGAAGATGTAATATGTTTGCCATGTCTTTTTCCTGCCAAAGTCACTTCTGTTTCTGTCACTGGAAAGGATTTTTTTTTTGATTGATGGGTATGGCTGCCTAATCCATTTCAATTATCAGTGAGGAGCACCATGTGCAACAAGCCAGAAATGGTCACTGACACACACTCAGGTAAGATTTTTTTAAAAGAAAAACACGAGAAGCAAAAGGTATTTGAAGTAGTCATACTAGATAACTTTGTTTTCTTTTAAAGAACACCACCTTAGCACTGCGAACAGCTGTAAAGTGGAGCTTAGCAATGCTTCTCCCCTTAAACATGGGTATCACTTTATTTGCTTTGGAGGAAAACATGAGCTTATTATTGAAATGTACAATTTCAACATCATGATCCATCTATCAAAAGACCAAAATATAAACCATAAACAAGCATGATAGAGTGAAAAGCACTGAATTTCCTGGGGTATTAATTATAAAACCAGGAAGGTAATTATACTTGCCTGTCAAGTTTACAAGGTTGTCATGCATAACAAATATATGTGAAGCAGATCAACCTGTCTGTTGGAGTATATATGCTAACATTGTCCTTACATGAGGTGATATTCATGAAACTTAATGGAAAATGAATAACTAGTTTAGCTACTCTCTAGGAAAAACAATTTCATTTACTGGTTTGGCAGAATATGAATTACTTTTATAACAAATTATTGTGCCACTTACCGGCAATGTCTTTTAGTCAAAATATGTTGTAGTTTGGGCTACCTGAGACCAACAAAGCCATCTGACAATTCATATGTAAATCATGAAATAAGGATTAATACTGATGAAAATCCAAAACTGTAATGACCATCGCTATCTACTGTAAAACAAGGTGGTGCTCTTCTGAAATAAATTTAAATGTTCTACAGTCTAAAGGATAAGTAGTACTGTAAAAAAATACATAAAGAATTGATTTCATTGGTTTAAAATTCTGTGGAACACGTGAAATAACTACTTACTCTTGGCAACAGAATTCTGAACACCTGCAGATGACATAGGCATTTGTTTGTGTAAACCGGCAATCTCTTGTTCAAGTTTTTCAGTAGATACAGAACGTTTATTAGCTGAGAAAAGATATAATATTTACTGTACTCAGATTTAAAAGAAGCATCATTAGCTGAAACAAAGTGAGTTCATGATGTAGTTCTATCGAGTATAGACGTGCATTAATTAGGTGCACAATATTCATGGTCATTCCTTATACATGATAGAGATTTAAGTTTTATGAAACTAAAATTATGCCCATTTTTAGGAAAATGTACAGTACCCTCAATAGTAAATGGGGCAATTTACTTTTAAAATATGCATTGGATAAAGTTGTATAAAGCTTTATTATTAATCATTTTTCCAGAGATAACAAATTTAAGTGGTAAGATTTTAGATATAATGGATAAAACGATAATGAAATTTCTTTTGCAATCTTACAATATAAATTTATTGTGCACACCAAAGAGTACATGGCAGTATTTTCATTTGGGATACAAAGTTCAAAATCTTGTTGTAAAGCCACCTTGTAGCAATAGCCAATATCCAAATATGAACCTGAATGAACTTCAAGTTTAACAGCTGTATTAATTACCATTTTTAGTCTCAGGGTTCACGGTTGTAGGGCCTTCCCACGACCATCTTTTTTGACGATGATCAACACGATTGCTCCGTTCCAGTGTACGGTAGACATCGGCTTTGAATCTCTCCTATTTAAATTAAACACCAACAATTTTTTACGTATTATAAAACCATCCCATCACCAAATTTTTGTATCAAGCAAAATTTTAGGGGACATCAGGTAAAAGTTAAAAATATTGGGAGGGGCACCTAGGTGGCTTAGTCGGTTAAGCGTCCAACTCTTGATGTGGGCTCAGGTCATGATCTCACAGTCCCTGGGACTGAGCCCCACGTTGGCTTCTGTGCTGGCAAACCAGAGCCTGGTTAGGATTCTCTCCCCCTGCCGGCCCCCTGCCCCGATTCGTGCATACACACACACGCTCTCAAAATAAATAAACTTAATTTAAAATATATATATAACCTTAAATTCTTTGTAGAATGAGGCAGAAAAAAAATCAACTAATATACATATAAGTGAAATCTATGCCAGAGTCATCTATAATACCCACATTTCTAAGATCTTCAGTTCTAGTGTTAATCAATAGTTTTTTTTAAGTGTATTTATTTTGAGAGAGAGAGCAAGGGAGAGGCAGAGAGAGAGGGAGAGGATCCCAAGCAGGCTCCGCACTGTCAGCACGGAGCCTGACGTGGTGCTTGAACTCACAAATCTTGAGATCATGACCTGAGCCAAAATCAAGAGTCGGATGCTTAACTGACTGAGCCACCCAGGCATCCCTCAATAAAGTTAAAAAAAGATAATCAAGGTGTTTGTCTGGACCTCAACTTTATTTTTCTTTATTTGAGTAATCTCTACACCCAATGTGGAGCTCATGCTCTTATGACTGAGCCAGCCAGGTGCCCCTTGACCTCAACTTTAATCGAGCTGCTCAGGAGAACAGCTTTTCAAATGTAAACACCACACTGTGACAAAACAACCCCACAGCCATGCATGGTTTTCCTTTCTCAGATAATTTTGTGCTGTAACAAACCATGGACTGTACTCAGGTAAACAAATCAACTGCAGGGCCAGGAGGCTTTGTATTATTCCCTGACAACAACCGTTTCATAGCAACATCATTCTTATAATGCCCCCACCGTTTCTCTGAGGGAAAAGATCAACATACTAGGAAAATGCAGACTCACCCATATCCCCTGAGGAGAAAAGCAATTGCAATTCTTAAAATAAAATGTATCTAGTGGCAATATTTTAAAATGGTATTTTCTAACAGAAAATTGCCTCAAATTACCAGAAACCCAGAAAGTGTAATAAACACTAAAAACCATAATCTGTCTTATATTATTCAAACATCACTGATTGTTGAGAATTCTATCCCCTGCTTCCAAACGCACTAGCTCTCTGTGCTTTCCGGTTCCAGTTGCATCTGTGGCTCCTACTTAAGCTCCTGTCCTGGCTCCTATGTCTGTCCACACTTACCCCTCCCTCAGCACCGTGGAGTCTGGGTTTTCTCCCTGCTCTAAGGAATTATTCTCTTTTTCTACCTGCAGGCTGCTCAGTGTCCAAGGGTTCCTTCTTCTTGCTCTGTTCACGGGAACTGCCTCGCCACCCACCCCCCAACTAGTTTTGTGAGGTTGATTCTCTTTTGTCCCTTTTCTCCTGGTCCTTCCTCCTGTTTCCTCCTGCCACAGCTCTGGCTCCCTCCCCCTCTGCAGTGCCATTATGTTACATTCTCTTTTCTCTGGGATCTCTCTGAGGTTCCTCTTTCTCTAAGATGATCTTTTTTTCTCTAAGTCCCTGGGAGTCTCTCTCCTCCAGGGACCCTCCCCCACTCTGCAGTTTTCTATTCTACCTTCTTTCAGTCTCTTAGCTCAAATCTATCCCTGTCCTTCCTTTTCTTTACCACAGAAGCAAATTAAGGAGCTCTTTCAGAGAGGAAGATGGAGAGTGATAGAAATTCTGAAGGAGAATTCATCAAATACTCTGGAATATGGAAAAAAAGAGCATAAACAACCACAGAAAACAGTTCAGAAGACAGAGAAGTGGTAGTGAGTGGACCATGGATGGGGAAGAAATGGCACGGGAACAGTTCCAGAATAAGGAAGGTCCACAGATGGGGCAGGGGCTGAGGCATGTGAGAGCAACCTTGTGCTTCACAAGGAGGGAACATGAGCACCACAGAGAAGAAGCGTCATGGGGACAAATGGAACCAAAAAGAAAGGACAGAAAAAGACAACTTTAAATTAGGGCAACAGAAGAAAAGAGGGGGAGATAAAAACACACATATAGAGAGAATAGGCAGAAAGCCCAAAGACAGGGAGACAAAAAGAGAGAAAAGCTAAGACAAAGAAAGAGGAAAGAAAAGTGAGGCACCTCAGGCAGAAAAAGGTCAGATGGAGAACCAGAAGACAGACTAAGATTTAGGGACACTTGAGCATCACTGGAAGAAAGAAAAAGAGAGAATGCCAGCAAGAAAAAGAATGGTTTCCCAGAGAACATGCCAGATTCACAAGAAGTCAAGGATCCTCAGAGTAAAGCAGTGCAGTTACCCTCCAGGAGGAAAATCTGATGTCAGAGAGAATCAGGCAGAACAAGACAGGTAGCCAGATGCCCAAGTACGGACAATAAAAGACAAATTGACTGAAGTGGGACAGAGGGGGAAATAGAGGGCGTTACTAAGGCAATGACTCATACCCACAGGGTGCCAGACACCAAGAGTCCAGAAAGGTCAAGAGAGCAGCAGGACTACAGAATGGCAGGGGAAAGAGCGGGACTGCAGGGGACGCGTGATGAGGAAGGGGGGGGGCACACAGGAGAAAAGACAGGGGAGGCCGGATGGGAAGTGTGCTTCCCCTCGGACTGGCCTGCACTCAAGCAGTCAGAGGAGCCGCCACGAGAAGTACGATGGGGAGCCTATCAGGACAAATTCCAGAGTCTCAGTGGAAGGAAGGGTCAGTCAGGGAGAGTGGAAGGGCTCTCTTCCCGGGCCTGCAAGACTCGTCTTTTACATCAGCTAGTGGTTCTAAACTCAGGGGTCTCACACGACAGGGACAAGAGGCTCTACCACTGAAGGGAAGCAGCGAGAACTGGAGATGGTTCCTTTGGCAGGGGAGGGGGCAGTAAAGGCAGAAGGGCTAAGAAAAAAGTGGTCCGGTGCCGGGCAACACAGTGTGTCATCTGATTAACAGGCTACAAAAATACATACCCTTTCCTCCTGTGATTTTTGTTTCCTTTTTTCTTCTGCGGATATTCTCCGCTGTTCATCCTTTTCTTTCTGTTCTTTCAGCTTTCGTTGTTTCTCTTCCATCAGTTTTTCATACTGGATCCTGGACTTCCTTTCTTTTTCAAGCAGTTGTGTTTCTTTGTTGGCTGAAATATTCCAAATACATTTTCAAGGTGTTAAGAGCCAAGCAAATATTTAACTTTTCCACATTATACGCAAGAAAGAAAAAGGTAATATAGCTCCTTCTCTTAAAAATAACATAACCTATGCTAATAACAAAAGATTATGTGAGTGTAAGAGAACGGCCACTAAAGTATTTCCCCTGGGTGTTCATTTAACTCCAGAGAACTGAGACGGCTTAGATGACCACTCATATCCTGTCCAAACTAAGATTCCAAATTAAAAACAAATATTTTCTTTCATGTGGTATTTCTGCTGATTTGAGCCAAGGTTAAGCCCCACCAGATTAACCTGCTATATACATTAAAATAAGAAATAAAAAGAAAACATATAGGCAGCATGTTTTTGTTCATTCTCTTAGGAAACTGCTTTCAAAGGCCTCATCTATGCAGACCACACTCAGCATGCCAGTTGTACAATCATGGATTTGGTCATGTACCACATTATGAACAGCATGATGTTTTCCTACTTCAAATTTCCCATCACTAAAGCCTGGAGAGCATCTATGCAGTTCTAAAATATTCTTCTGAAGAGCTACAGGAAGAAACCGCTCCTCATTAAAACAAAGACAAATGATATCCATTTGAATGAAGCTGAGCACAAGTTTTGTCAGGGGATTTCAAAGATCAGAGAAAAATGCAGTTGAAAAAGCAGTCCCTTAAGTTGTAGAAGGATATTCTTTGAGATTCTAATTTACACTTAAGAAGTGTATGTTAGGATTATTAGCAACTTCATTTTCCTTTTTAGGGTCATTTTTATTGAAATCCCATTCCTCTGGTTTCTACAAATGTTGAAATTTTCATATTTTAGTTTTTTTTTTTTCTTTCAACGTTTATTTATTTTTGGGACAGAGAGAGACAGCATGAACGGGCGAGGGGCAGAGAGAGAGGGAGACACAGAATCGGAAACAGGCTCCAGGCTCCGAGCCATCAGCCCAGAGCCCGATGCGGGGCTCGAACTCACGGACCGCGAGATCGTGACCTGGCTGAAGTCGGACGCTTAACCGACTGCGCCACCCAGGCGCCCCTCATATTTTAGTTTTCAGAAAATTGGAGGTAACAGAATTTACTACTTCAAAAATTAAACAATTTAATCAAATATTTTTCTTGGGCCTTCTTTATCTTACTTAGTATAATCATTGAATCCAATATAATACATCCTAGGAAAAATGTAATCTATGATATAAACAGATCAGGAAAAGTAAGCAAAACGACTCTGGAAATACATAACCTTACAAGAAAATTCACTCATTCTGATTATTTTTTAAAAATCTAAAATATACCATCTTGTTGTCTTTTCTTTTCTTCTCGGCGCTCCTTCGCCAATCTCTGCCTTGTGTCACTTTTAAGGACAGATCCATCTATGACTAAAAACAAAAAAAGAAAAAAGCAAGACATTAAATAGGATATCAAATTTTAATGACATGACACTTTGACATCTATCACAAAGCATTCTAGAAATTATACCTGGCTTGAATGATGATTTTATATTTGAGGATTGAGATGCAGAGCTAAAACCACCCTGATTCCGTCTTTCTTCGGCCATGGCGTGAGCGGCCGCAACTAGAACACAGGAACATAAAGGGAAGGGATTAGATAATAAGAATACGGTTAATACAGGGGGAGGCAAACAAAGCACAGGCCGTCGTCTTTGATGATAAAGGATAGCATCTCATCTATAAGGCAAAATCATGATAGATTAATCCAGGTCAACAATACAGACATACTGAGTACCTATGACGTTCAACAACAGTTTAAGAATTAAAGCTGTTTACTGTGGATGTGCTGGCATACCAGTAGACATAAGGAGAGAGCTGTGAGTGGGAGTGGCAGCACAAGCTTGTGGATGAGTAGGAACTAATGATTAATAGCTTTCAAAAATGCATCAGGCAAGACATTACAGCAAGTACTAGAAAAAGTGAGCTGGCAAGGAATTGGAAAAACTGTTTTGCCATAAATTGGGAATTTAGAAAAGAGTTGGCATTTATGGATCTGAATTTACAAGCAGAAGTGTCAACAGTGAGATCCTCAAAGATTGGGCCAATATTAAAGAAGTAAATTTATAAATTACCTACATGTGGGCTTTTCTACTGTGGCTGCACACTAGGGTTACCTAAGTTGCTTTAAAAATACATTAGCAATGGGGGCGCCTGGGTGGCTGAGTCAGTTAAGTGTTCGACTTCAGGTCATGATCTCAGGGTTCGTGGGTTCGAGCCCCGTGTCAGGCTCTGTGCTGATAGTGCAGAGCCTGGAGCCTGCTTCAGATTCCGTGTCTCCCTTTCTTTCTTCCCCTCCCCCGCTAACATGCGCTCTGTCTCTCTTGCCCTCAAAAAGTAAATAAACATTAAAAACATTTTTTTAAATGCATTAAGCAATGTATTAGCAATGACTGCTTCTCCCCACCCCCAGTCTCTGGGGTGGGGGCCCAGGCATTATCAGTTGCTAAAAGGTCTATTCTAATGCACAGTGAAGGTGGAGAAGCACTGGAGGAATTTCCATTGAGATACTATTATTCTAGGAAGAAAAGTGTCAGGCAAAGATAAATTTACACATGCCTTGTAAAACAGGCCCAAAAGTAGTAAATAACTTCAATAAAGGTGAAATACAAGGTTAGGGGAGCACAATTTGAGGAGAGTAAGAAAAAACTAAAATTCTAGGATGATATACCAATTACTATAGAGGATACCCTGAACCCTTTAATTCCACGTATGGCCATATCTAAAATGCCCCACAATGCTGGGCATCTTCAGGAAGGATCTGGAGATTAACACTGAAAACTCTCTTCTACCCTTGTAAAAGCCTAGGAAATATGTCTCTGCGGCGATACTGCGTACAATTGTTTTCTACATGTCAGGAAAAAATAGAACAGTGGAGGATGGACAGTTAAAATAATTAAAGGAATAGAGTGGCTGTCATTGCCCTCATAGAAAGAAGGGACTCTGAGATGTTCCTTGCCACTGAGGAAAGATATCCAGAAATCATTTTACAGAGTAACCTTGAAAGTGATGTCACAATTGCTGTCATAGTGCTATTTCAAAAGGGAAAAAGGATTTTTTTTTTTTTACCCCAGAGACCTAACAGCTCAGATAATCCATGATTTAGGTAAATTTGAAGATTAGATTCTTCTCAGCTTCCTTCCTAGTTCAACAACTAGCAATTTTATGTACCAGAAGTTATCCTCTGAATTTAAGTAGTACAGTGCATTAAGAAAAATTCTTAAATATAGTCTATAAATTAACTAAACCCTCCTATACACTCCCTCCTATTTGTAACATGTCTATGTGAGCAGAGAAAAAACAACAGTTGGTTCTGCACATTCAGCTTTCCTGCTTAGAAATAACAAAGAAAGTCCATATTTTGGCACAATTTAGCTGACCATAAGGGCAATTTCTCTCAAAATATACAATTTTACCAGACATAAAGACCTCATTAAACAGTAGTAACTTCAGAATTAGCTGTGGTGGGAATAATGAACTAAACCCTAAAGGTCAATGTGGAAATAATATCGTCTGATTTTTAGAACTTTATATCCAAATTCTTACCAGCAAGAAACACATTTACCAAAAGGACAGGTTCTAGAAACCACTTAAAATGTTCAGGCAATGGGACAAAGGCTTTAGTCTGAGCTTAACAGAGTGTTTTACTAAACTCCGTTGAATGAGGAAATTCACTTACCATTCATTTTAAGGTGACAGCAAGGTGCAGTTTAAGTCCTGTACTAATTCTGAATCCCAAATTAAAGTTAAAAGTTACCTTTTGCCTGGAGATTAAGAAAATGTGTAGAGTTTATTAAAACTGAAATATGAACCTTAATCTATATTTATGGTACTTAACTAAAAATTGCTATAATAATGTATATTACCTCACCATTTACTTAATGGTGTGTCTCCGTCTCTCTCTCTCTGCCTCCCCCTGCTCATGCTGTCTCTGTCTCTCAAAAAAATGAATGGTAAAAAACTTTTAAGAAAAAAAAAAAAAAAAATACAGCAATGGTGGGGCACTTGGGTGGCTCAGTTGATTAAGCATCTGACTCTTGGTTTAGGCCTAGGTCATGATCTCACGGTTCATGAGTTCGAGCCCCCCATCAGAGCCTGCTTGGGACTGTCTCTCTATCCCTCTCTCTCTGCCCCTTCCCCAGTCGCTCTCTCTCTAAAAATAAATAAACTTAAAAACTAAAAAAGAAAATAAGCAATGGAAATATTTTAAAATAAAGCACTGAACTATTTTTGTAAAAGAAAGCACTATTATGCTTTGCTAAGAAAGGCCTGAATTTAGAAAAAAACTTGTGAAAGACATTAGAAGAAAACCATTCTTGGGACACCCGGGTGGCTCAGTCGGTTAAGCATCCCACTTGGGCTCAGCTCACAATCTCAGGATTGGTGAGTTTTCAGTCCCACCTCAGGGCTCTCTGGCTGTCAGCTTGGTGCCCGCTTTGGATCCTCTCTCTCCCTCTCTCTTTACCCGTCCCTCAAAAACAAACATTTTTTATAAATTGGGAGGGGGGGGTTAGAAAACCATTCTCCTCCTATAAGGGAAAACTTACAAACTCAATCATCCTGGATATCAAGCCCAGTAAAAGCCTCAGAATGCACTGAACCAAAAATAGCCACTACTAAGGATATCAAAGTTAAAGAATGCTTTAGACTTAATAGATTTTTTAAAGTTGTCATTGAAATTTTGAAGCCTCTTTTGGATATAAAGCGTTTTAGCTCATTACCAACTTCAATATAGTGGAAAGTTCCAGCTTCTCTTTGCCTGCCCCCCAAACACACAGGATCTGTGTCACTAGGGCAAACTAAATGCAAGAAAGGAAGAATACTTTTCTGTGACAACTAGTTCAAGAATGGTAATAATCTTCCAAATGCTTAATCCCATGAGATGCCAATGATAAAATACTCATCCCAATACTTATTCGGCAATTCTAAGTTGTCTGCCACAGTTGCTGCTCTTGATATCACTCTCAGAATTCAACGTAAAATCTGTAGCTCCTCCCCACCATGATCCTTCTTCCCCCAAACCCTTTCTTCTGTACTCATTAGAAATATTAGATCACATACACTACTATTTTTATTAGGTAGCAAAGGGGTAGATTGTAAAAAATGATTGAAAGGTTTTTTAATAAAAAAGGCTTTGAGTGTGGCAGAGAACCACCATACTGTGAAACTAATTGTTACAGATTAACAGATTTAGGGTTACTCACTGTTATTTGGAAAAGAGAATAAAACAAAGTAATTGCCACCAAGTCCTATCATGGGCTCCTGCTGGATGTAGTGCACTAGGGGGTCTAGCACTAGACAGTTCCAGCAGCTCAATCAATACCTGACCACTCCCACAGCTGCTGGCCCTGTGCTGGACCCACTACTACCCTGCACCTGAAGAAGTTATTTGTTTAGTACAATGTTTTAACTTTGGGAGCCAGGTTCCCAGCAGGAAATGAAATTGGCCAGATTAACAGATTTAGTGCTATTCAGTGTTGTTTGGGTAACAGAATAAAAAGTAACTGTCACAGTAGCATTTCATTTCACAAAGTAGCAAAACATTTCAAAGACTCCTTGTCCCTTTCAGGAAATCCATCAGGGCAAATCTAGTTAAGCTGGTACCCTGTGAAACTCTAACATGTAACATGTGATATTTTCAATTCCTCATACGAAATGGGCAGCAAGGTCAACTGCGGTTCTGGGTTAAGTCCTTTTTGCATGGCTTAGTTTTTGGTTTGAAATATACTGTGAATTCAAGCAACTGTCTCATTCAAAAATTTAAAATACTTCACAACATTCAATATCCTTTCCAAAAATGCTTTTTTTTGGGGGGGGGGAGCGGTTTATCCAGAATGCTGGTTAATCTGAATCACTGCAATAAACCAATGGCAGAGAGCCTTAGGTGTCAACAAGCAATGAAACAATCCGAACTTACTGCAAACTCTCTAGGTGAAGCAGAATAAGCTAGAGACAGAAGGGGTTGACTTCCCTAGGAAAGGGTACTTGCTACTGATGCATTAGGAGTTGATTCAAAGTATTCCGAAGGAAGGTAATTTAATTTTTCAAATGCAAATGAAAATATCCCTAAGGATTTCAATAAAATCAATTAAGATGGTTTTATTCAAGCTCATATAACAGGAAGCTGGCCTGAGAACAGCAAGCAACCTCCCACGAGCAAGAAATACCATTTCGCTCAGCTAGCGGAAGCAGCCTCCTGGGCTAAGCAACGCGCTGCCAAATTTTAGAAAATTAGCGATTTTAGGCGCGGGGGGCGGGGGGACATTTTGGCGACGGGACCGATTTAGGAGAAAGCGCTCTGAAGTGCTGATTTTCCCTTCGCTGCAGCCTAGGGTCGGGCAAGATGTCCCACGGAAGGTGACATCTTGGCGAAGTCATGTGCTACAGCAAGCAAATCAGGAGCAGAGAGGCAAGTTTCTTCCCAACTTTCAAAGCAACAGCCCCCCAAGGCTCCGTCCCCACCGGACCCTGACAGGGAGGGAGCGGGACATTAAGCACCTCTGGAGAAGCGAGGACTGCGACCGTGGGAGGCGTTCGGAGCGCGAGCGCCGCGGCCAGAGGGAAAAC